GCGGTTACCCAACTACTTACAAAATTGCATAAAAAATCACCAAATTACACAATAACGTCGTCTTATACTTAGTGCTTGTAGACTTTTGATCGCTGCTTTTGCTACTCTTCACAATAACAGTAGCGTTATCTCGGCAGTAGCGTTATTTTATAAAATTTATGCAACGAAACTTCAAAAAAACATTGTGCATTGAATGTTATAAAAACACAATAAACTATGTTTCCAATAAAATGATTTTTTTGGAAAATATTTTCCACCAAAGTTCTTTGTACTTCTTGCTTGTAGATTTATGACTCCGACTGTAAATATACATATATATATAAGTGTTGTAACAACAAGACTTTACACAAGAACAACATTACTCGACTTCACTTCAGGTATTATTTTTGGAATATTTTTAAAATTAGTTGCTTTTGCAAATATTCTCTTTTAGTCTGATTAGAATTCATGTTTTTGTTTTTACGTTTATTGGTTGAGTTTAGAATACAATTGTGCAGCGCGAAAAATGTACTTGATTTATTTACGGCTATATGGTTTAGCGGTAGTAAGACCTGCTGGTAGCAGATTTTATAGAAGATTAATAAGTATTTTTACAATTTTATAATTGGAGGAATATTGTTATTGGTTTTAATATAGTTTTGATTTCTTATGAGACGGGAACTTGTAAGAAGCTGATAGAGTCAGTTTAAGGCTTAGTTGTCTTGTAAAATATTTTAGCTTCTTATATAATGCATTAGCACTTCTTTCGATGAACAACTAATATTTTTTTTGGTATTCTTTATGTAAAATGTTCTTTATAGAAAATAAAGTAAATAAAAACTAACATTAAATTATTAAAATTATTAAATAATTGAAATTTGTGAAAATTGAACATTTATTTTTAACATCGTTTAATTCGTAAACGTGTTTATTTTTCTGTTAAACACAGATCACAGAACACAAATCTTAAAAAAATATACACTTATGAAAACATGTTTCTATGCAATATGTACAAAAACTTTCGTTGTGTAAATACTTTTGACTATGGCTGTATATAAAACTCTTGAATCAAAACACACGTCTTCTCGTTTATACAATCAATAATAGACTCCCTTTATTTTCTGTGATTTTCGTTCTTAAATACTAAATTTTATATAGTTTAATGATAAGTTATGGGTTTTTCTTTTAGATATACATATCCTTTACCCTTGTTCTTCGTTACCTTATTTAATTAGTTCCTTTTCCTTTAGTTTACATTTTACATTTATAACTGATCTTTTTGTTTTAAATAAATCACTGTTATTATATTTTATATTTTTAACTATTCTTATTGTTTTAAAAATAAATCCCTGTTATTATATTTTATATTTTAATGTCTAAAAGCACCTTGGTAACGAAATTTTTTGAGGCCTTGAAAAATAATTTAATTTCTAAAAAAAATACTAAAGTATTAAATACCCAAATAACTTAATATAATTTTTAGGTGACTGGCGCGCAGATACATGTTCAAATTTGAACAACACATATACACATAGCAGAAAAAGTCTGCGGTCACCCACATAATTTTTCTTAAATTTCGCATAATTTTTTTAATTTTTACTCAAATTGATTTTTGTTTTCTGATTTATTTTAACCAAAAAAACAACAATAAAGTTTAAATATAAACAATTAACAGTTATTCTTGAAAAAAAAAAATTAAACACTTCTTCATATTTCAATTAAAACAATTAAAATTCACAGAAACCTACAATTTAATAGCCTGTGGGATAACCTCTGCGTTTAATAACCTCTTTTAGACGTTTTTGCATGAATTCAACCAGCTTTGCAGTATCCTGTGCATTTATTTTTAGCCATTCTTCCTTGATGACGTTTCTTAACATATCCTTGCTGGAAATCGTGTGCTGGCGAATGTTATCTTCCAAATAAACCTGCAGATGTTCTATGGGACTAAGGTCTGATGATTCTGGTAGTGTTTGAATTTGCCTCAGAGAATGGTTCAGCAGTCAAATCCGTACAATCGCTGCTGTATGCTTAGAATCGTTGTGCTGCTGACACAAAAAGGTTGCCTCAAGCCCTAAAATTCTGGCATTTTCTTTTAAATTTGTTTTTAGCTCTCTCTGATTTGTTTTTTAACTCTGATGGGAGAAAATAACTCAATTTCAGAACTGGATAGCTTTATTTACATGTTTTCTTGCAAACCTTCATCATTTTATTCCATTATGTCTGAATATGTATCGTTTCTTTCCTGCAACCAGGGTATAATGCATGCTTTTTTTCAAAATTTTCCGCACGGTATCAGGACATATTTTGTTTTCAAGTATTTCGGCAATATGTTCAGCCAGTTTGGGAGCTGTTACTCTTGGATTTAGTTTCACCTGGTTGATGATGCTGCTTCTTTCTCTAACTGACAGAATCAAAGGGTGACCAGTACGAGGTTTAGAAACATAATAACCCGTCTCCTTGAAGTTATTTATAACTTTTTGCACAGATGAATATTGACGACCAATATCTTCAGCAATTTTTCGTTGTCTTACTTCATCTATCCAAAATTTAACAGTTATTTGTCGCTCACTAACTCCAATTTCACGTTTTTCATATTTTATTGTAAAAATTTACTGTTTATGTAAAAAAATATTTTTTGAATGATTAAATCTTAGACTCTTTAAGATGTCAACTGATAATTATATATCATTTAATGATACGTTTATGCTTTAAATTAACGGTAAATGTAAATATTAAGAAGTGACCGCAAACTTTTTCTGCATTGAAAATTGTTGCTTTTGCATATAATTGTGTTGAATTTTTTTTTTAAGGATAACTGTTTATGTTTGTTTATGTTTAAACTTTATTGTTGTTTCTTGGTTAAAATAAATCAGAAAACAAAAATCAATTTGTGTAAAAATTAAAAAAATTATGTGGGTGATCGCAGACTTTTTCTGCTATGTGTATATATTTTTTATGTATCTACATTTTAATATTTATGTATATATAATTAATAAGTATAAACAATATTAATATTTAATTAATATTTTTAAGCCATAATTTAACTAATTAGTATTTTCTGTTATGGCACTGCAATGGTGAATGTATTTGAGAAATTTTCAATAACTAATTTTTTAAGTATAAATAATAATAATGAAACATACATATGCAGTTTTTCGTCACATTTGTATACAAATTAAATTTTTAGTTGGATGCGGTACCGATGAACACCTGTTTTTGGTTTTCCTACGAATATAATAGCACAAAACTGCTTTTTACCAAGAATTACAAATGATAAAACTTTTTTTAAAGAGTTTCCTGCCAGAAAACCAAAAATCTGTCAAAATCTTAAAGATATAGAAATTTTAATAAATAATAAATTTATTCGATCTCTTAGTTCGATACCTTAACTTTCTTATCATTTAAGAAGCTAACCTACATTTTATCTATAGACCAAAATCAAAAGAAATTAAAATAACTTTTTCTACTAAACCAAAAAATAATAATTACAAAACAATGGTAATTAAATTAACTTATTTATAAAACAACCATGTTATTCTCACGTTTACATATGTTTTTAATATATGCATTGACAATCTTTAAAATTACCTACAAAATTTAATTTACATCTCAATATAAACAGAATTATAATTTGCAACATTTTTGTCGCATACGGGCATTATTCAATTCAATATAATTTATTTTTAACTGCATGTTCGTTTGCGGCGACCTTGCGGTAATTTGGTTACTTGCAGTGGAAAAAGTAAGAAGTTGCACGCAATGTTCACGGTATATGCAAGCAAGGTAGAATGCACTGTACACTATGACCTAATGTTCCCCATTAAACTGACTAAACGCTCCTTGCATGTACATATTTTTACCGCAAGTGTGCACCCAGGCTTCTTCTCTTCTTGGCACCGTACAGTGCCTCTTCGTCACTGTACTTTATTTTAATCTAGGGAATAATGAAGCTGTTCGTTTAAATAAATGATTGATACATAAATGTAAATATAAAACACAACTTAGAAACCTTAATTATTAAAGTTTTTAAACACAAATCTTAAATAAAACCCTTATTAATCGTTTTAGATTAATAATATATATATTCATAACATGGTTACAGTGATTAAGTTTAGACTCCACCGTCACAGTTAAAAAAGAATATTATTGTAAGGAAGCAATTATATCATCTTATTACACAGCTTTGCGTTTATTTGAAAAAGTTTTTACATGTTGTTGCTAGTAGCAGTTTTGATAATAAAAAGAAAAGCTTAAAGTTTGTGTGTGACAACTCTATTGTTTAATCAATTCTTAATTGCAAAACTTTTTTAACTGCAATAATGATCATTTCTTTCTGATACGATTCGAAAAATATATTAATATGAAATAGATTGGTTAAAAAAATTTATGAATGTGAGAGCATTTTTTGAGAGAAGAAATTTGGTTTTATAACTGTAAAACGGTAAAAGCTCGAGAGAATCATGATTGTATGGATCTCATATTTTATTTCAATCCATTCAAACTTTTGCTGCTTGCTTTAAGACTTGTGTTAACATTCTTTCTTACATGTCAACGTAACACGTTATCTCTTCAAAATAATTGAAAGAAATGTATAAGACAGTATAAGTGATAGTAAATGTGTATATGTGTGTCTCTCCAGTTCCGGCTGTTTAAACTCACATTCAAGTTTGAATGGGAACATTGAATGCATATGCAAATACAAATCTGAAGATAGATTTATTTTTGGTTTTTATTTAATAGTTTAAAGTAGATATGTGTATTAATTTGTCAATGTATTCAATAATTTACTCAAGCTTTAGGAAAATAATTTCCTTGAGCACAATTCAGTTATTGGTAGCTCTTTTTGAGTTCACAACTTAGAAATGGCAACAGGTTGCTTTAGACTTACGCATGCATGTGTGAGTATTTTTTAAAAAAGAGAAACCGGCATGCAATAACCGGTTAACAGTGATATGCAATGAGTGTGTAGAGTACAAGAGATAAAAATTATAGTAAGAAAAATTTGTTGTGGCCTAACACATTCGAATCCGTAACTTCTTAGTTTTATTTTCTTTCTGGAAGAATCAGTTTATATAGTGTCTATAATAATTTATATTAGAAATGACAAAATGTTCATTCAGCTCCGCATTGCTTTTTAATGCGGTGGAGGTGCGGATTAATGTTGAAGTTATTTATTATAAATGCAGTATGTAAACATATATGTAGTAGATCTTCATATGTACATGCGCATATTTAAAGAAACATACATACATAAATGTACGTATACGAATACAAATATTTGCAGTTAAGAAACTTTAACACATCAGCGTTTTGATATTGAATTCGTAATATTTTATAGTACTGACGTGTAAACAAGTAATAACAACCAAAAAATTTTTAAATATTTAAATAGATAATTTAGTGAAATAAATTAATTTCTTTTCAGCGAGAAGAAACCGATAAAAAAGCTTATCAGTGTCATGCAATATATTTTATAAAGAGAAGAAACAAAAAATAGTGTGACGTAGTGAAAGCATTTTTATATATATACACGTCGATCACAAGTTTTGCTATTAAACTTCTTTATGTATATAATGGAATCATTTTATGATAGTGATTTAAAGGATGTTTGGGATTCTGATTTAGACTCAGTAAGTGTTATTTGTATGCATATTTAATTTTAAGATAAATATTTAATGCACACATTTAAATTTACGAATGGAAAGGAAAAATAGTCTGCTAACTTTTTAACAATTTCAAATTTTAATTTTTCAATACCCAATAATTCAGTTGTAATTTATGTAGAAAATTGTTATAATTGTTTGTGTTAAGAACTATTTTTTTAAGTTTTTTAAAAATGTAGAATTTAAAAAAAAATGTGATGTATAAAGAAACTCAAATTTTTAAGATAAGAAATGTCAGCACTTTGAAGATTTTATTTAAGAATTTTAAAATGTCAATGTTATCAAAAAAATGTTCTAGAATTTACAAATTATAATTTTATTGTAATTAATTTTTATTACAATATACATTTCAAACTTGTTTCCGTGTCCATAGACTTCTAAATTCTTATTGATTTTGGTAGCTGTGTATTTTATAAATCAATTTATTTTATTTGTATAATTTTTTGTAAGCTCTTAAATTTCTTTTGTATATTATAATTGTCTGAATTTTTAATAATAAAATTATTTATATATTCGACAAATATTTATTAATTTGAGATATTGCTTTGACTTATTTAAAATATAAATTAAAAAGACAATTTATTTTCTTAGATTCCTTTTTGGTATGATTAAATTCTACAGACAACATTGCTGGTATTTGTTGTCAGTTTTATATGCTTTTAGTTTAGATAATTTAGCTACACTATTTTGTTTCTGATTAAAATTCCATTATCTATTTCGATATTTACGTGAAATGTGCATCCTGGCACATTTGTATTTCTGATTGCAGCCACTTCAAAGTGCTACACGCCTAACGCAATTACTTTTTTAAGAGTAGCTGATGTGAGGTTTAAATGAGGTTTCTTAACAACTTCAGTTAAATTGCCAATGAGAGACTATACAAAGCATATCTGTAAATTTCTTAATGTTCAAATGATAGACAAACTTTAATTTTATATAATTTATCGTTTTCGACGGTACTGGTTCAGTTATATGTTGTTTTACAATTCATTGCAAGGTTTTTTTGTGTCATTGGAAGTGGGAAGGATGTAAGTGATTACTAAGTAAGGGTACAAAAATAAACATATTTACACAGTTTGAGTAGAGAAATTTTTGTATATACTTTGTTAGTAATAGTTAGCTGGCTTTGGAACATAATATTTGAAGTGGGACGAAGGACAAAAAATCCGTTTTTTTAAGCGAAATCATAGGTATGCGTCGGACTTATTTAAATGGATTTGAATTTTTAAAGCTATGTAATCGACTTCAAACACTATGGATAATTTGAATAAAATTTTCACTTGGTAAAAATGGACATGCTTTTGTGGTATATGACTGTAATGCTTTTAAATTTTTCTGAATGATATAGGATACCGCTAAAAGGTGTTACTGTTACAGGTGTAAGGCTTAAAGTTTTATTTACGTCTGTTATCAGCTTAGCAATAGTTCGTAACGTTTCGGATACTATTGTATATTTCCTTTAACTTTTACTATTGTAAATAAAGTTTAACTGCACAGTATTAATTTTTTTAGGCTATACAACTAAGTAATTTATTTTATAAATTAATATTTGAAATAGTTTATCAACAATGTTTTTGATATGTAAACAAACACATTGTTTTGTGAACAAATTATTCTCTTCTATAATCTAAATTTTTGGTAACATGTAATAATTGACAGTGGCGTAGCTGGAATTGAACCAAAAGAAGATGAAAAAGCTTACTTAAAAATTATAGTTTTGCCTTTTTGTGTTTTCTTGTTATCTATAAATTATATTGCCAATCGGGATTCCTTCCACAAATTCGCCCGTAAACACTGGGTAGTACGAAACATTTTAGAAATAATAAACTAATTGAAATTTGCATTTGTTACTAAAAAATTTAAGATTTTTAATTTAGTGTATTAGATTTATATAGGAATATGCATTTGCTGATTTCGACAGTAAAAATATATAAAACAAACCTGTGAATAAAACGTCAATTAAATTTAAATTTCAGTATATTGTTTGGAACCTGTTATTGGGTGCGAAATATGTTTAAATGTTCTTCTCAGAACATCTTAAAGTACTAGATCTTTCTGATATAATTTTCGATAATTTGTTGGCTAGCGTCAACAGATTGAAGACTGTCCGCATGTATACAATAGTTTGCATTACCCAAAAAACAAACTCAATGATGACAAATTAATTTAGTTTATCAAAATGTGGAACCGCCCTTCCAGAAAGTTTCACACGCAACAAAAATAAAAGAGGACGTTTTGTGTGACTTCCGGTACCATCGTCTGAAATCATATATTCAATTTGAGTTATGGGCATTAAAATCCTTGTGCGCATGAGTATAACTAATTATAACACGCTATTTTTCTTAAAATACACCGATTAACAACCTGTAGCAATGCAGTATTTGCTATTGTATTATGTAAAGATTGTGGCATGGTTGCAACATAAATTGCCTTTTCCCAATATAATATTTCCACACATTATTATATAGTACAATATACATATATATAGGGCAATGCTGTGATGGCGTGATATAAGATTATAAGTTACGTAACGTAAGCCAACGTAATAATTTAAAACAACTTTATCACTACTCGAGATGGAGTCTAGGTGCCTATCGATTAATCCCAATAAACAATTCATCTTCGAATCAATAATAATGTCTCTAGAAATTAGATACCAATATAGCATAGCATATTGAATAAGTCTATTCTTTTTCCTTTCAACTCTCCAATATCAATGCCTTTTTCTAGAATTTTTGAACCAAAAAAGTTTCTGAAGTACCCGTCTGTTCTTAAGCAAGCAATCGGTATGTACTTCAATGGGTCCCACTTCTAATCCGCCATTCAAGGATAGATACCGCACTCGTCCATGGTATTTCAATTCCTCTAGTATTAATACCAGTCTTCATGAGCCCTTTTATAGTAATTCATCTACATCATCAGAGTTGTTACAAAAAAAGTTTTTGGAACTTAAAAATATGCTTTCATCATACATCTTTCTCTTTACTGATGGTTCAAAATCGATCTACTCAACCTCTTTCAGTTGTACTTCTCTCGACCGTCATTAATCATACACTCCATTCACCATTTACCTCTATTTTCTCTGCTGAGCTCAAAGCATTTTTAAATGCCGTAAACTTAGTAAAACATAAAGATACAAACTATGCCATATGTTCAGGTTTCGTAGTTGCAATAAACGCAATTAGTAACCCTCATAATACAAACGTTTACGCAATAAACATGAGATAAATAATCTCTCTAAAATTTCACAAATTTCTTATTGTCTCGGTTCCCAGTCATTACTTAATAACCGAAAACGAAATATGCAGCTAAAGATGTAGTAAAATACCGCCTAAACTACAACATATCTGAAATGAGAATTGATCTGAAATTCACAACCGGTTTTATACCCCTTACACGCAAGTAGCTCTTCAAATTTATTCGCCTACTTCTCGTACATACAAACATCTTTTTAACCATTTTTTTTTTATCCAGATGTCAGTTTTGTAACACAGACCCTACGTGAATTATCCATATCGTTTTCACTTGAGCTTAATTTTCCCATCAGGGGCAAACATTAAAAAAATAATTAACTTTCACACAACAATTAACGTATACGTTAATTCAAATTTATATGAAATATCGTTATATCAAATTTTACGATTCTGTATCATATCTATGTTTTTATTATAATTACAATCAATGTATAATGTAAATTTAGTAGCTTAAGAGGTCTTAACTCCTTGCTCTATACTATTGCTATAGTATGCATATTAATTATAAATGAATAAATAGATTATAAGTTTGTTCTTAAATTTAATCGGTATGATTAGCACTATTGTCATGAATACTCCTATGAGTAAATGAATTACAAACATCTAGTGATCAAATAAGCTGTTGAACCACCCACATTTGTTGATCAATAATTTATATATAATAATTTTGTTTTTTACGGACTTTGGTCAATAGTTAAATAATAAACTTAAAAGATTTTTTTAAAAAGTTATTTATTAAACTATTGACCAATTAGCCCGTTACAAAACCAAATTATTATTATCAATAATTTATAAAATTTCGCATTCTTTCAAAAATTAAAAATAATTTCAAAATGTTATATTTAGGAAACCTCTCAATACATTTTTTTGTTCTTGATTTTTGCAAGTGCTTTTTTCTTGATGTGCATATAAACATACAATTCACGGAATGTGAAAGCTGTACCCTCCTCTTTCACTGACTGTTTCGTAATGGCAGTGTTACTTTCCGTTAAGATCCAACTTTACTCTTTATTATTTATTTACATCATTTTTTCTAATATGATATGAATGAGTTTTTATTTATAATTTTCTGCAAATGCTTTTTTAATATTAACTCAATCTAGAATTCGAGTTCAAAATCTTTTTTAATAATGTGGAATATTTATTTATTGGTTTAATATAAAATTTGTTTATTAGTCAATTCAATATATTTGTTCCAGTTTATGGTGTCCAATGATGTCATAACTTAATATGCTGATTTCTATTATGTATTTTGATGGAGTTTGGCTGACATTAAAAGTTTTACACTTAGTGAATTGCATTGCATTTTAAATACAAGGACGATTTCAGTAATTTAAATTTGGCAAGATTTTCAATTCTTTACGCAATGACATTAAACAGGTATGTACCTGTTTTACCCACTATTCATATCATTTTAAAATAATTCTTACAAGTAAAATTGTGGCTTTCTATACTTTTCTTTTTTGTCAAAATATATCAGCACACGATAACATCGTACAAAAATATATTTGTAAATTAATATCGTTTTATATCATGTTTCCACTGCAGCTAAACTACTTATGTTAATATAATTAACGTTTTATCGTTTCCATTGGCATAATCTGATTTATGCAGCCGAAATAAATTTTATTTCACAATAAATTAATTTATTATAAAAAAATTAATAATTATTAAAAACCAAAAAATTTCTTTCTTCTAAATTTAATTAAATCATAAATCAAGTTTTTAAACATCTATTCCATATTTAATTTATGAAATCATAAAACTTTATGATTTATGACTTTTTGAACTATAGTCGCTATCCACCTGAAATAAAAAACTTCAGTCAATAATATATTACGCAAAACATTAAATATATAATTTATATATTTAATATTTTTATTTATATATGTATATCGTAATATTTTTACATATTCCATAAATAAAAACAAATATTTTATCAAATATTTACTTTTGTTTACATTTTGTTTGTATATTTTACATTAAGAACAAATGACAAATATTTAAAGTTTTGGTAATTTACCTTGTAGGAAATTTATTTTTAAGAGTTGCATTCAACATTTTTCGTCTTAAATGAGTTGATTTATCTATAACGAGCTCATTTAGATGAAAGATCTTTGTAGGATAAATTGTTCTCATTAATAGCCTTAATGAGCAAAACTGCCTAAATAATACCAGTGCAAACATGGTATTAGACTAACTAAATCTGAAATCAGAGTAATAAGAGTAATAAGTATATGGGGAGTACGCCGATAAGTTTATTAAATTGAAATATTCATACATTTAAAAAATAATTACATAAGAGGCTTATAATATGTTTTCACTGCCTTTGTTAGACCAGTTTATTTTGTTAAAATCGTTAATGAAATTTGATTAACCATACAAAGAGGTTTTGTGTCTTTTAACTTAGTTAAGACTAAATCAAATGTCGAATGTGATATTGTAAAATATATATATCTTAAAAAGAAAATAATGAAAATTTCACCTATTTGACCTATATGAAACAAAATTTAAATAAAAACAATAAACAAATAAGTCAAAGAAACCAAAGATGAGAATTTTTTAAAGTGTTTATTTTTATAAGTAAAATATATAATTGACATATAAAAATATATAAATAATTATAAATGAATATAAATAAACATATAAATATTTCAAATATGATGAATTTCCATGATGAATTTTCATATTTCAATATAACAATTGAAATAAAAACAAAGAAAAGCTTTTCTAATATTTAGGATTTCCTAATATATTAAATCTCTTTCACATGAAATAATCAACTCATGGCAGTAGAAACGAAGAAATCTTAACAAAAGTTATTTTAACTGCAGTGGAAACATGTTATTAAATGATCATGTATACTATAGTGTGGTATAGTTGATTAATAGGAGTCGTAAGTCCTATAAATGGACATTTCATAATCTGAGGTAATTGGAAATTGAACTAGCAATTAAATTTTTGATTTCAACTATGTTGGCAAAAAATAACAATGTTAAAAGTTCCATGTTGCTATTGTTTGAAGAGATTTTTAAAAAAGACGTTTAGGAAGAAAGAAAATAAGTTGTTCATGAAATATAACATTTTTTGTATACTATTTATTATTTATGCTATTTATTTAAATAAACATCAGAAAAACATAGTTACAACTGATCAGTTCATACGACAGTTATTTTGAAAATTTTGATAGAGCAAGTAACCTCTGTGGTTTGTGGGATGTTTAACCTCATATAAGGCGTACTTGACAAAGTAAAGGTTTTTCTCTTAAGGGCCCATTAGACAGCAACGCTCGTTGTCAACGCGCGCTTGCCATTACACAAACAATTTTTTAAAAATTTTTTAAACACGCCCCAGATAAAACAACAAATATACTAAAAAATCGCTCTCACATGAGAATTTTTTCTCCTACTTTTCTCCTACTTTGTGAAATGCGAAATTTGTTTGTGTAATAGTAACATTTGAAATTTTAAGAAATGTGTTGACGAAAATCAAAAAATTTTGATATTTCTTCAACCACGCTCGTGTTTTTGCATATACAGTCGGATTTGGTCGGCATGCAAAATTTAATTTATTTTGAGGAGTAGAAGCACGGTTGCCACTTGAAAATTTTTTTCTGTACCAAAATTGGTTTAAAAAGGTACCATTTCTGTAAAAAAAGGTCCAAAATTTTTTTGGACCTTTTTGTTTTCTCGTTCTGTTTTTTTCATAGTGTTATAAATGAACAAAATATAATATAGTGCAAAGTTGCATTTATAAAAAAAATTAATTGCAAATATCCACAATAAAGTTGGGTCGTCAAAAATGTACCATTTTTTGAAAGTGAGTACCAAACGAAAAAAAAAAAGTACCAATTTTGGTACTAAAGTACCATAAGTGGCAACCGTGAGTAGAAGCGTAAACACATCGTTTAAATGCACGCATGATTTGTCGTTACCATGCGATGCTTTGCAAATATGAATGAATTGCATCTTTTATTTTAAATATTTGTATTTTCTACCTAGGTAAAGTTTTTTAATTTCCAAAAAGGTAAAGTTTTTTAATTTCCAAAACATGTTATTAAGAAGAATTAAAATATTAATAACCTTGGGCTAAAAAAAAATAACCAAACATTAAATTACAATGAAAATTTTGTTTTAAATATTAATTGCATTGTGCATTTACGGAAAATTTGTTATTAAAATATACCAAAAAAAAATTAACTTATATAAAATTTAATATATACCATATAAAAATAAATATATAAATTGAAATCATAAAAATAAATATATAAATTAAATGTAAAACATCATTTTTCGTAAGGAAATTACGCATACCAGCCGCTGTTGACACTTCAGCGATTGCTTTAATATTGATGAGTGAACAAATTTTGCATTGTTTGCTGGAGGCGTGTTTAAAAAATTGTTGGTAAATTTAATGTGTAATACCAAGAGAAGACTTCGTGTGTTTGTCAACGCGCGTTGCTGTCTAAGGGCCACTTTACAATTGTAGTTTTACAGCGTAATTGATACATTTACTTTTGCGGAAACAGTATCGTTAGTAAACACTCGAGTCATACTTGAGCATTAGCTGTATTTTACTCATACTCACTCTGGCTGTCTTTTTCGTTTACTTAACTTCACCTGACTCATTCAAATTGAAAGTAATTGTAATTATCCGTTTTAACTTTGTTTTTCAATATAATTATTGCTACAACAAACCAATACAAGTCCTATATATATATATGCTTAAGGGTGTAAATCTAAAAATATCTTATAAGTAACGGAAACTGAATTGTAAATGCACAAATACCATCTCAAATCCCGCAATTAGTTTCAACTTCACCTTCTTTCAATTTAGTGAAAAGCGTACACTTGAAGATAATTTTTAGGGGCAATGGCTGAAATAAGGAGTACAATTTTGGTTATCAGTTTTGAATTTTTATCTAAAACACATGATTGCCGGTGCCAAATTAAAAAAAGTAATCGCGCGGATGATTGCTAAAATGGTGGTAAATTTATTGTGCGAAAAATATCTAATAAATTTATATGAACTTTTTTTATGTAATAAATAGTTAATAAGTTAATTGTTTCAAGATGATAAAAATTGTATCAGATATTGTGCTGTATTCCAAACAATTATATTGTTTGATTAATGCAATGATAAAAAATTATTTTAATTTTAATATTTTTTTGGCTGCTATTATGTCAACTTAAGTTTCAATAAAAATAATTACGTTCGATTTATTTAAATATAAATTTTATTATACTCGTATTTATTAATATGTATATTCAATATTTCGCCTAACTAATATGGTCATCTTAATTGTTTATTCCATACATTTCATAACTATTGTGTTCAAGTCTTATACATGCACTTTTATCATATGTCCATACAAAGATATATATAACAGTAACAATTAATAGGTTAAAGAAACATTTTTACGACACAGTAACAATTATATGACAACACAATATATTTATAAATGTAGCATAATTGTATATTTATCCTGTTATCCTGATTGTTTAATGTATATTTATACACTTGAGCACAGTTTATTATATCCTTCTTAAAGTTAAGCAAATCTAAAACAGGACTTCAATTTCTTTATAAATATATGTACAGTGACGAACATAATAATTGGCACAGCAAGCATCGTGAAGACGCTGTGAAGAAATATATAATTATATGGCGTAAATAACTCGTTAAGGAAACCAGAAGGAACATTTTTGTAGAGCTCATAAGGAATGCTGTAGTTACCTGAAGCTTTATTAGATTTGGTGTTTGCAAGCACAAGCTGGAGTTCACAAAGTTCAAAAGGAGAATCAAGGAAAGAATTGGCAAAAGGCGGAAGACACCAAGAGATAACTGGAAGGTCGGAATTGCATGAAAGCAGGAACTCATAGTGAATATGAAAGTCTTCACATTGTAGAGAATTAGCTACTTTGAGGGGACTGTTTTTCAAATTTTTTGCTACATTCCACTAGTCAGAAGTATTTTGAACAATATTAAGCGCTTTAATTTTTTTTTATTGCCATTGAAGTTTTTCATTACGGCAGAGGTATGCATATAGGTTTCTAGAGGTTTCTAGATTGTATTTCGAACTAAATTAAGAAAATGAAACATTTTTTTCTAAGTTCATGACACTGGTTATCAAACCATTCATTTTAAGGGTCAAAACGCTTTTTCAATGTCTGGTTTCCCCACGCCTCGCGAACTTTTTCAAGAAATACATCCAATTTAACATCAATCTGCATGTTAGTATTTATATAATCAGACCAAGTTGTCATTTCTAGCCGTTCTCTGTATCTATCTGTCCACGCGTCTTTCCAACGCATTTTTTTCGGAACTTGTACGTTATTCGGAATTACTTCCAAA